TAGGGACCCACCTAAGACAGCCAGGGGACCCACCTAAGACAGCCTAGGGACCCACTTAATATAGCCAGGGGACCCACCTTAAGCCAGGGTACCCACCTAAGACAGCCTAGGGACCCACTTAATATAGCCAGGGGACCCACCTAAGACAGCCAGGGGATCCACTATATATTGCCAGGGGGACCTACCTAAGACAGCCAGGGTCCCACCTAATATAGCCAGGGGGACCTACCTAAGACAGCCAGGGTCCCACCTAATATAGCCAGGGGGACCCACCTAAGACAGCCAGGGGACCCACCTAATATAGCCAGGGGATCCACCTAAGACAGCCAGGGGACCCACCTAATATAGCCAGGGGACCCACCTAAGACAGCCAGGGACTCACCTAATACAACCAAGGGACCCACCTAAGACAGCCAGGGGACCCACCTAATATAGCCAGGGGACCCACCTAAGACAGCCAGGGACTCACCTAATACAACCAAGGGACCCACCTAAGACAGCCAGGGGACCCACCTAATATAGCCAGGGGACCCACCTAAGACAGCAAGGGACTCACCTAATACAACCAAGGGACCCACCTAAGACAGCCAGGGGACCCACCTAATATAGCCAGGGGACCCACCTAAGACAGCAAGGGACTCACCTAATACAACCAAGGGACCCAACTAAGACAGCCAGGGGACCCACCTAATATAGCCAAGGAACTCACCTAATATAGCAAAAGGACTCACCTTTCTCCTGAGGTAGAGGAGAAGGGAAGACGAGAGCGGAGGAGAGAGCCAGCGTCGCCAGCATCACCATCCCGGAGTACCTCACCCGCTCCAGCATCCTCCCTCCTCGTAGTCTCCTGCTGTGGTAGCTTGCTTCTGATTTTCTTCCTGCGGGAGTTAGTTTCTGCGTGTGGTAGTCTGCCTTCTGTACTAACGCTTTAAAGGCAGCGACACTCGTCGTCAACACCTCCTGTGTACCCCTGGACGTCGAGGGCAGCAACACTCGTCGTCAACACCTCCTGTGTACCCCTGGACGTCGAGGGCAGCAGCACTCGTCGTCAACACCTCCTGTGTACCCCTGGACGTAGCGGGCAGCAACACTCGTCGTCAACACCTCCTGTGTACCCCTGGACGTCGAGGGCAGCAACACTCGTCGTCAACACCTCCTGTGTACCCCTGGACGTAGCGGGCAGCAACACTCGTCGTCAACACCTCCTGTGTACCCCTGGACGTAGCGGGCAGCAACACTCACCACAACTAGACAACAACTAGTGAGCAACGACTCACTTGGGACTTTGATCTTGATCCCTCAACCAACGTGACCATCAATAAGAGTTTAATATTATGATTACTGGTGGAGAGGTTGTGGTGGTGCTGAGAGTGGTGGTGGTGCTGATAATAGTGGTAGAGGTGGTGTTGATAGTGGTGGTGTTGATAGAGGTGGTGTTGATAGTGGTGGTGTTGATAGTGGTGGTGTTGATAGTGGTGGTGGTGATAGTGGTGGTGGTGTTTATAGTGGTGATAGTGGTGGTGGTGTTGATAATGGTGATAAAAGTGGTGTTGATAGTGGTAGTGGTGATAATGATGGTGGTAGATGTGGTGGTGATATTGGTGGTGGTTGTGTTGATAGTGGTGGTGGTGGTGATGTTGATAGTTGAGATAGAGGTGGTGATGATACTGATGGTGGCGGAGGTAGTGGTGGGTGGGTGTTGATAGTGACTGTGGTGGTTGTGATGATATGGGTGATGTTGATACTGGTGGTGGTGGTGTTGACAGTGGGGATAGTGGTGGTAGTACTGATAGTGGTGGCAATAGTGGGGGTGGTAATAAAGGTAGAGGTAGTATTGACTGAGGTGGTGGTGATGGTGATAGTGGTAGATTGTGTTGATGGAGGCGAGGTGGTGGTGGTGGTGTTGATAATGGTGGTAGAGGTAGTGTTGATAGTGGTGGTGGTAGTGGGAGCGTGGCAGGCACGTATACACGTTCTGAGAGTGTAGTGTCTCCAGTGTTTACAGTAGCCGGAGTTGGCGTGTAACACCATAAATGGTTTAATTTAATATTTCACAGACAACGAGAGTCAGTCACACAGGATTTTGGTGGCACCAGGCAGTCGGCCTTAGCAATTTAAAAGTAAAACCTTTTCAAGTGTTAAGTGCTCACACGTTGAGTAGAGGTTAGTTTGCATCAGGTGACCTAGCTCTCTGCTAAGCTGAGAGACGGGTGGCTGAGAGAGGCAAGTTGTGCATTAAGCATAGACACAGAGTTCTCCCATATTAACAGGAATTTGATGAAAGAACGTGAGTAACCCCTCACTAACTCTAGTTGCCCTTGGGAGGTGATGATCTTTGGGGGGTTTAAATACCCCAAAATTACCACCTCTTTTAAGGGTCTGAGTTTGGTGCAGTGGGTTACAGGCGTACCAGTTATACCAGTTGCTGTCAGGCTTCTGTGCTGGCTAGGGTTCGAAACTCCTGGTGGGAAAGTGTTCTAAATTTATTTTATATATATATATATATATATATATATATATATATATATATATATATATATATATATATATATATATATATATGTCGTACCTAGTAGCCAGAACTCACTTCTCAGCCTACTATTCAAGGCCCGATTTGCCTAATAAGCCAAGTTTTCCTGAATTAATATATTTACTATAATTTTTTTCTTATGAAATGATAAAGCTACCCTTTTCACTATGTATGAGGTCAATTTTTTTTATTGGAGTTAAAATTAACGTAGATATATGACCGAACCTAACCAACCCTACCTAACCTAACCTAACCTATATATATAGGTAAGGTTAGGTTAGGTAGCCAAAAAAAGCTAGGTTAGGTTAGGTTAGGTAGACAAAAATACATTAATTCATGAAAACTTGGCTTATTAGGCAAATCGGGCCTTGCATAGTAGGCTGAGAAGTGAGTTCTGGCTACTAGGTACGACATATATATATATATATATATATATATATATATATATATATATATATATATATATATATATATATGCGAACAAGCCTGAATGGACAAGCTAATGAACCTCATTATGTCCGGTCGTGATGGTCAAGTGGATTAAGGCATCTTGTACATACCAGTTGCGTTGCTCCTGGGAGTATGGGTTCGAGTCACTTCTGGGGTGTGAGTTTTCAGTTGCATATTGTCCTGGAGACCATTCAGGCTTGTTCGCATTTGTGTTCCTCACGTGTGCCCCAAAGAATGAGGTGATTTGGTAAAATGCTATGCCCAAGATTACTATCCGAGTGCCGGCGGTGGGGTGGTTCAAATAGCTTAGGCTATCACCTCATTATGTCCGGTCGTGATGGTCAAGTGGATTAAGGCGTCTTGTACATACCAGTTGCGTAGCTCCTGGGAGTATGGGTTCGAATCACTTCTGGGGTGTGAGTTTTCAGTTGCATATTGTCCTGGGAACCATTCAGGCTTGTTCGCATTTGTGTTCCTCATGTGTGCCCCAAAGAATGAGGTGATTTGGTAAAATGCTATGCCCAAGATTACTATCCGAGTGCCGGCGGTGGGGTGGTTCAAATAGCTTAGGCTATCACCTCATTATGTCCGGTCGTGATGGTCAAGTGGATTAAGGCGTCTTGTACATACCAGTTGCGTTGCTCCTGGGAGTATGGGTTCGAGTCACTTCTGGGGTGTGAGTTTTCAGTTGCATATTGTCCTGGGGACCATTCAGGCTTGTTCGCATTTGTTCCTCACGTGTGCCCCAAAGAATGAGGTGATTTGGTAAAATGCTATGCCCAAGATTACTATCCGAGTGCCGGCGGTGGGGTGGTTCAAATAGCTTAGGCTATCACCTCATTATGTCCGGTCGTGATGGTCAAGTGGATTAAGGCGTCTTGTACATACCAGTTGCGTTGCTCCTGGGAGTATGGGTTCGAGTCACTTCTGGGGTGTGAGTTTTCAGTTATATATATATATTATATATATATATATATATATATATATATATATATATATATATATATATATATATATATATATATATATATATATATATATATATATATATATATATATATATATATATATATATATATATATATATATATATATATATATATATATAGATAGATAGATAGATAGATAGATAGATAGATAGATAGATAGATAGATAGATAGATAGATAGATAGATAGATAGATATATAGTGAGAAGCCTCGCTACACCAAAGAGGTTCCAGCACCCCCAGGCCGGGTGGGGGACTCTATGTGTCAGACGTCGTCCCCCCCCCCCCCCATCCTCCTCTGTACCACAATATTCTCAGCGACCTTGGTGAGTGAACTTGTAAAGTTGACGAATATTGTGTTTTAAAATTAAGTGGTGTGTGATTTTTAGGGGCAGTCAGCCGTAGTTGTTCTCAATTTCTTGTTTGGTGACTCTAATTCTAAATTAATGTTGACATTCGAACATCAAGTGAAATGGTTGAATTATGATTCCCATGATAGTAAATATAAAATTGATTAACTTACTTTTAAATTGTCTTTAATTCTGAGCCGTATATGTTGGATAGTAAAAGCTAGAGTGGAGAGCACTTTCAATTGTAGATGATGACGTAAAATTCTTGACTATACGATTACATGCTTACAGTTGATACGTGATAACATCAGAAAATATTGTTGTGCAGAAAAGTTTAATTCCTTGTCTTATAATTAACTATTGAATGGATAGTGGCAGCACTTTCTATTCTTCTACTTTCCTACTTACTAACACCTTCCTCCTTTTTCTACCTCTTCCCGTCAGCACTTTCCATCCCCTCTAATTTTTTCTCGTCCTAAAACTTTTCACTTCCCCCAGACCACTCTTCCTCTATCCTCTCTTCCACCTCTCTATCTCCCTCACTATTAGTTTCACTATTATTTATCATTCTTTCTTTCTCCAAATTTCTGAGCCGTTACAGGCGTAGCTCAGCAACAACGGTTCACATATGCGAGTCCACTCTTACTAAATTGATCAAATTCGATGTTGCTCGCTTTAGCAACATATACAGAACTTATCCGTATTTAGCAACTTATCCAAAAATAGCAATCAATATACCATATGAAGCAAGTCAGGTGGGACATTGCCAGACCTTAAGTGATTATTGACCTTGTTCAATCAATCAATTGTACAGGTAAAGTGTAAGCGGAAATGGGGATAGATGGAAGAATAGTCTGGAGAGGAAGCTTCGTAGTCGTAGAGGGTAGAGCCAGGGTTTGACACAGCAGCACGGCGAGGATTTTTGGGTCGTTGAAGCAGAATGGATGGTACCGCACAAATCACCAGGGCGGGGCTGAAGAGGACGAAGCGGCTGCCAATTCCTTGCCATACTATCTCTGGGACTATTTTTTTTTTAGGGGGAGTGAGGGAGGGGGGCTGTCTCGGTGGCCTGATTGTGCCAATTATAGAGCTGGTGGGTTAGTGAAGACCTCTAGGTCTTCAGTTTTTTCTTGGACAGAGACTTGCTCCGTGTTGACATGGCCGTGCTGCCATTTGAGTTTGGTGAGGTGGCCTCCATGAAGAAATCTTGTACGGAGTAGGTGTCGAATTTGTGCTGCGGCGATGGCACTCCTACTGACATTTCCTCGTCTGAGGAGTCCGAAGCGTCCGTAGTTGGTTTTGTCTTTGCTCTCATGGCCTGATGTAGGCTCTGGTGTCGTGGATTGGTGATAGAAGCTAATTCAGGAGCGTCGGTGGTGTTGTTAGCAGTGGTAGACAGCACGTCTACGAGTATGCGTCGGCTAAGCTGGTGATGATAGGAGTGTTGGGAGCTGGAGAGGGAGATACTTCCGTTTGAGCTGCCTAGGTCTTTGGTGGTGCTGGAGTCTGTGGTGCTGTGAGATCGACCTCGTGATCGTCCTGGTGGTAGTCCCCGGTGTAGTAGGGGAGGCATTGAGACTAGCGTTAGGGGCAATGATGGGGTCCAGGCCGTTGGCTAGGTACAGTGGGTTGAGTTCCTTGACAAACCGTTGAGTGTCTTGTCCAGTAAGCCTTTCTGCTAGTCGAATAAGACCCGGGATAATGCCTGCACGGGATGCAAAGGACTGTGAGGATGCTGGTTGGTTCTTGGTTCCCCAGTGTGGAGTCCGGGTTGCTTGGTGGGAGGAACCACTGTTTGGTAGGGCTGGAAAGTCTTCCGGTTGGTTGGTGGGAACTGAGGTGCTGGGTTTTGTGCCTGGGGGCTCCGGCGGCGGAGGTAGAAGTTTTGGATTTCTTGGATTCAACCTGGACCTTGATGATTTCCTGTTTGTGGGGATATCGATAGAAAATCGCGGAGTGTTCGCCTTTGCAGAGCAGGCAGCATCGAGTTTCTGATTTGCGGATTGAGTAATGATGGTCCTTGGCACAAATGCTGCACTTCTGGATGAGATGCTGACACTTGTTGATGGGGTGGAAAAACTCGTAGCACTTAAAGCACTGTTGGAGCTCGTGGAATCGTTCCTTCTTCACTTGGTAGGGTGGAATTTTGATGCCAAAGTAGTAGAGACCTTGTGTGGCAGCTTGGGTAGCCGCGGCTAAGGAGGTGAAAGATAGCTTCATGGTTGGGTGCTCGTCGTTGGTGCCGCAGAACTCAATGTCGAATACCCCCAGTAGGAATTTCGGCCTCGAAGTTGGGAATAATCTCCTTTCGTCTTCCGTCCGCGATCCACCGGCTGGTCCTGCTGATAAAAACTGTTTTTTCGGCGAGGTACTAACGTGGGAAGTGGGAAAGGAGGTGGACACTTGGACACTTGGCGAAGTGTCCAATCAAATTTCTTAAGTTTTTCAAGGTCTTCCTCACACAAGAAGGACCAATATCCACCCATTCCTGACCAATGTCGATGGGAGTAATGCCGGTGCCGTCCTTGAGGATCTTCAAGAGGTTGCTTTAGGTGAAAGCATTGCCGTCGAGGGGGGGGGGTGTCCTAACTTTGAGGAGTTTGTGGCCAATTGTAGCCACCCCCTCAACGGGTCGCAGTGGCGATGGATGTCTTGCGGAGTGATTCAGGCTTGCTGGTCCCAATCACTTGAGCTGGAGCAGAAGAGGCGTTGACCTTATTATATGTGAACTAACCCCCCCCTCCCCCTGGCTCAATCATTTTCGTCTCTGACCTACGAAATGCTGACCTTGGTAACTTATATTGTGAATTGTGGAAATGTTCATAACGTCTCTATCTCCAGAAGAGTAAGCCTGTATATAGGCTCATCGATGTCTTCCAGGCCAACTACTGACCTTTCACAGGGTGCAACCCACAACAGTTGCGTAACTTCCGGGTACCTATTTACTGCTAGGTGAACAGAGGTATCAGGTGTACGGTCCTCCTTAGGCCAACTACTGGCCTTTCCCTGGATGCAAGCGCGTTCAAATTGGGATCTTCTTGAGAGGTTATCTTGAGATGATTTCGGGGCTTTAGTGTCCCCGCGGCCCGGTCCTCGACCAGGCCTCCACCCCCAGGAAGCAGCCCGTGACAGCTGACTAACACCCAGGTACCTATTTTACTGCTAGGTAACAGGGGCATATGGTGAAAGAAACTCTGCCCATTGTTTCTCGCCGGCGCCCGGGATCGAACCCAGGACCACAGGATCACAAGTCCAGTGTGCTGTCCGCTCGGCCGACCGACTCCCCCAGGATTCAATAAATGTGAAAACCGTTTAGGTAAATCAATAACAATATGTATCATAAAGAGAGATTGTGTCCAAGGTTGGAGGCCAGACACTTGAGGCTAACCTAATCCAACTTTTCAATATGATACATTGCTAGTATGAGCGTGCAGTAAGCCAGTCGGGGTCGGCCTCCCAGTGCCACATTTTAAGCAATATCGGCACCTGTAGCGACCCCCCTACAATTTTCAGTATCTCTGAAATCTGATATTTTTTCCATAGAGTTTTAACAACATTTGAAGTGTTCAAAATATTACCTTTTCTGAGAAGGGGAGAGAGAGAGGGGGGGTGTATGTAGGGGGAGAGGGGGAGAAAGATGTAGAGGTGGGTAGTGTGGAGAGGAGAAAGAGAGGGTTATAGAGATAGGGAAGAGAGAGGGGGGTAGAAAGAGAGAGAGAGAGAGAGGGGGGTATGGGATCTTCCTCTCCTCTTTCCTTATGGGAAGATCTCCTCTTATAGGGGAGAAAGGTGGAGAAGGGGGGGGGGGAATTGTGGAAAAGAAGCACGTCCGGCTGCGAGCAGCCACGTCCAACAGCATGGTCGACCAGTCCAGCAACCAGGAGGCCTGGTCGACGACCGAACCGCGGAAACGCTTAGCCCCGAAAACATCTCAAAGTAACCCTAAGGAGGGGGAGAGTGAGACCCGGACACAGCCGGACACATTTAGTATATTTACTTAAATTTTTGACAAACGTGAAGAAAAAAAAGTATAATAAATTTCAAACCATATTTGTAATTTATTAATATTACAACAAAATATATATGAAGCAAATTAACATGTCAGCAAAAAATACCAAAACAACGTGATCCAAGATCATCCTGGTGATTGTATCTATGCTCCAAGGGTATCCTGGGGAGTGTATCCATGCTCCAAGGGTATCCTGGTGATTGTATCTATGCTCCAAGGGTATCCTGGTGATTGTATCTATGCTCCAAGGGTATCCTGGTGATTGTATCTATGCTCCAAGGGTATCCTGGTGATTGTATTCATGCTCCATGGGTATCCTGGTGAGTGTATCCATGCTCCATGGGTATCCTGGTGATTGTATCTATGCTCCAAGGGTATCCTGGTGATTGTATCTATGCTCCAAGGGTATCCTGGTGATTGTATCCATGCTCCATGGGTATCCTGGTGATTGTATCTATGCTCCAAGGGTATCCTGGTGATTGTATCCATGCTCCATGGGTATCCTGGTGATTGTATCCATGCCCCATGGGTATCCTGGTGATTGTATCCATGGGTATCCTGGTGATTGAATCCATGCTCCATGGGTATCCTGGTGATTGTATCCATGCTCCAAGGGTATCCTGGTGATTGTATCCATGCTCCAAGTGTATCCTGGTGATTGTATCCATGCTCCAAGGGTATCCTGGTGATTGTATCCATGCTCCAAGGGTATCCTGGTGATTGTATCCATGCTCCAAGGGTATCCTGGTGATTGTATCCATGCTCCAGGAATATTGCGGTGATTGTATCCATCATCCAGGGGGATCCTGGAGTATTAGTAACACTGATTGTAGCACTCTGGAGCATTAGTTACATTAGCTAAGGTATCTTGGAGCGTAGTTGGTACTTTTGCAGCATTTCCAAGCATTAACTACAGCCTGCAGGTGGGGTTCCCTCGTAGGTCCTGCACACGAGGCCTATCAGGTCTAACTGGGCCTCGACCAGGTTGTCCGCGGTATACACCTGTTTGAAGGGTACGAGTGTTAGTGATGGTAGTGTACACACACACATACAGGCACGCACACACATACACGCACGCACACACATACACGCACGCACACACATACACGCACGCACACACACACACTGGAGGACATCAAGAGTGAGATGCAAGAAATGATGCAGGAAATGAAGAACGAAATAAGCAACCTGAAAAGAGAGCTGAGAGCAGCAAAGGAGGAGATTAGAGCCCTCAAAGAGAAGGGTATCGAGGCTGAGACTCAGAAAATCATCCAGGGAGAAGGTGGTAATAGTTTTTTGGAAAAGAATGCCACAATAAAAGCAACATTTGCAGAAATGCTAAAAAAAAACTCTGAAGTAATGTCTGCAGTGATGGAGGTGGCCATGAAAGCAGCCACCTCGCAGGAGGCGGCACGCTCCACTAGCCAACTGCTGGAAAGGAACAGATCAGTGGTTGCTGTGGGTATTAAAGAGCAGGAAGGCTCCAATAGGACAGAGTGGAATGACAAAGACAAAGCGGCAGTGAATGAAGTACTGAAGGCACTTGACATGGAAGGGGCTGAGCATAGCATTGAGAAGGTTTTCAGGCTAGGATGGTACAACAAAGACCGTGACCGAGTGATAAAGATAGTGTTTGCAAACGAGAGCACAAAGGAGAAGATTCTATCAAGGAAGAACTCCCTGAAAAACGTGGGAGAATTAAAAAATGTATTCCTCCAGAGAGACATGACAAGAGAGGAAAGAGCCGTGGCAGCAAAAGCAAGGAGGCGCAGGGCAAGAGGGGAAAACCAGGAAGTCACAGCTCCCAACACAACACCCCCAGAGGCGAGGGGGGAACCCACAACCCGCTACCCAGTAACAACAGAGGGGAGGACAACCCCGCTACCCTCCTCTGCTTAGAAAACCCCCCTACCCCAAACCCTCCCTGCCCCCACTCAAATGTTCAGCCAAATCTCCCTCCCCCCACACCCAATCCCCACCCTTCTACCCCTCCCCTCCTCCTGCCGAGTTCTCCCCCCCCCCTTTCCTTCCTGTCCTCCCTCCCCTTGCACCCCATACCCTCCCTGTCCCTCCCCCTTCACTGGATCCCCCGCCCCTCATCCCAGTATCCTCTGAGACCCTGTTATCCACCTCACAGGTCCTCACACCCATGGAACAGCTTCCCCTACCAGCAGAACACTCACCAAGGAGGCGATTTGAGAAGGGACAGAAGAAAGTGAGCCTCAAAGCGATGTACACAAACATAGATGGAATTACAAATAAAGCAAGTGAGCTTAGAGAACGGGTACAAGAGGAAAACCCAGACATAATAGCCCTCACAGAAACAAAGCTAACGAAAACGATAACAAACGCAGTGTTCCCACAGGACTATTATGTTATGAGGAAAGAGAGGGAAGGAAGAGGTGGGGGTGGTGTAGCTCTGCTGGTAAGACAAGGCTGGGATTTTGAGGAGATGGATATTCAGGGCTGCGAAGGTTTCAGTGACTACATAGCAGGTACCATAACAACTGGAGGGAAAAAAATTATAGTCGTAGTCATATATAATCCACAACCAAATGACAGAAGACCCAGACAGGAATATGATAGAAACAACATGGCCACCATTAACATAATAGAAAGAGTAGCTTCTGTTGCTAGCAGGAATGGATCTGGACTACTAATTATGGGAGACTTCAACCATGGGAAGATAGATTGGGAGAACAGAGACCCGCATGGAGGACCAGAAACATGGAGAGCTAAGCTGCTGGACGTGGCAACAAGAAACTTTCTAAGCCAGCACATCAAGGAACCAACAAGAATGAGAGGAGAAGATGAACCAGCAATGCTTGATTTGATATTTACCCTAAATGAGTGGGATATAAGGGAAGTTAAGATGGAAGCGCCCTTGGGAATGAGTGCTCACAGTGTATTGAACTTTGAGTACCTGGTAGAGCAAGGAATTATCTCCCCCAAAAAAGAACTAGGAATCAGAAGGCTGGCATACCGAAAGGGGAGTTATGAACAGATGAGAAGTTTCCTAAGTGAAATACCTTGGGACACAGACCTCAGACCTCTGTACAGGGTATGATGGACTATGTTACCCAAAAGTGTCAGGAGGCAGTAAACAGGTTTATCCCGGCCCAAAGGGAAAAATCCGAGAAGCAACAGAAGAATCCATGGTATAATAGGGCATGTATGGAAGCGAAGAAACTGAACAAAAGGGCGTGGAGGAACTTCCGGAATAACAGAACACCAGAAAGCAGAGAGAGATACCAGAAAACCAGGAATGAGTACGTCAGGGTGAGAAGAGAAGCAGAGAAAAGTTTTTAAAATGATATAGCAAATAAAGCCAAGACCGAACCAAAGCTACTCCACAGTCACATCAGAAGGAAAACAACAGTGAAAGAACAGGTAGTGAAACTTAGAACAGGCGAGGACAGGTATACAGAGAATGACAAAGAGGTGTGTGAAGAACTCAACAAGAGGTTCCAGGAGGTCTTCACAATAGAACAAGGTGAGGTCACTGTGCTTGATGAAAGGTAGGTAAACCAGGCGGCCTTGGAAGAGTTCGAAATTACGAGAGAGGAGGTCAAGAGACACCTGCTGGATCTGGATGTTAGAAAGGCTGTTGGTCCAGACAGGATCTCACCATGTGTACTGAAAGAGTGTGCAGAGGCACTTTGCTTGCCACTCTCCATAGTGTATAGTAAGTCACTGGAGACGGGAGACCTACCAGAAATATGGAAGACGGCGAATGTGGTCCCAATATACAAAAAGGGCGACAGGCAAGAGGCACTGAACTACAAGCCAGTGTCCTTGACTTGTATACCATGCAAGGTGATGGAGAAGATCGTGAAAAAAAACCTGGTAACACATCTGGAGAGAAGGGACTTCGTGACAAATCGCCAACATGGGTTCAGGGAGGGTAAATCTTGCCTGACTGGCTTAATAGCCAGACTGGCTACGACCAGGTGACAAAGATTAAGCGAGAAAGAGAGGGCTGGGCAGACTGCATTTTCTTGGATTGTCGGAAAGCCTTTGACACAGTACCGCATAAGAGGTTGGTACATAAGCTGGAGAGACAGGCAGGTGTAGCTGGTAAGGTGCTCCAGTGGATAAGGGAGTTCCTAAGCAATAGGAAGCAGAGAGTTACGGTGAGGGGTGAGACCTCCGATTGGCGTGAAGTCACCAGTGTAGTCCCACAGGGCTCTGTACTCGGTCCTATCTTGTTTCTGATGTATGTAAATGATCTCCCGGAGGGTATCGATTCATTTCTCTCAATGTTTGCGGACGATGCCAAAATTATGAGAAGGATTAAGACAGAAGAGGACTGTTTGAGGCTTCAAGAAGACCTAGACAAACTGAAGGAATGGTCGAACAAATGGTTGTTAGAGTTTAACCCAAGTAAATGTAATGTAATGAAGATAGGGGTAGGAAGCAGGAGACCAGACACAAGGTATCATTTGGGAGACGAAATACTTCAGGAGTCAGAGAGAGAGAAAGACCTGGGGGTTGATATCACGCCAGACCTGTCCCCTGAAGCTCATATCAAGAGGATAACATCAGCGGCATATGCCAAGTTGGCTAACATAAGAACGGAATTTAGAAACTTGTGTAAGGAATCTTTCAGAACATTATATACCACATATGTCAGACCAATCCTGGAGTATGTGGCTCCAGCATGGAGTCCATATCTAGTCAAGCATAAGACTAAACTGGGAAAGGTTCAAAGGTTTGCCACCAGACTAGTACCCGAGCTGAGAGGTATGAGCTACGAGGAGAGACTACGGGAATTAAACCTCACTTCGTTGGAAGACAGAAGAGTTAGGGGGACATGATCACCACATTGAAGATTCTCAAGGGAATCGACAGGGTAGATAAAGACAGGTTATTTAACACAAGGGGCACACGTATTGGGGGACACAGGTGGAAACTGAGTGCCCAAATGAGCCACAGAGATATTAGAAAGAACTTTTTTAGTGTCAGAGTAGTTGACAAATGGAATGCATTAGGAAGTGATGTGGTGGAGGCTGACTCCATACACAGTTTCAAGTGTAGATATGATAGAGCCCAGTAGTCTCAGGAACCTGTACACCTGTTGATTGACGGTTGAGAGGCGGGACCAAAGAGCCAGAGCTCAACCCCCGCAAGCACAACTAGGTGAGTACACACTTCTTTTGCAAACAGAGTGGTAGAAGGTTGGAACAAACTAAGTGAGAAGGTGGTGGAGGCCAAAACCGTCAGTAGTGTCAAAGCGTTATACGACAGAGTGCTGGGATGACGTGACACCATGAGTGTAGCGCTCGTCCTGTAACTACACTTAGATAATTACACTTAGGAAATTACACACACACACACACACACATTCCCCCCCCCCCCCCCCCTCCCCAATCTTCCCTATATACTCCCGAGAAATAGTTATCTTATGAACATTCTTGCAATTTAAGACTGCAGAGAGCAGCAGCCTCCAAGAATGCCCCAGCCAAATCCAGATATATATCTAACTGGATGAACAGATCTAAACTGGATATATATCTCAGCAAACCTAGAGGCCTCCGTAGCACATGTTAGTATACTGTCAGTATGACAGCCATTCGTCACTTGCTAACGTTTTTACAACTGCCTTTGTGTATTATCCTGACAGTACTGACCTGTGTGTATTTATAAATACATATACACAAGAAAATTATGTTCTGTAACAATATATTCTGGTATTAATGTCATGTATTCCCATATGCATACTCTAATTATATATATATGAATATATGATCATGAGTCTTCATCATAACATTATTAATCACATGTTTTAACATAAATACATAAGAATTAAGGAAACTGCAAAGGGCCAATAGACCCATACGAGGCAGTTCCTATTGGCCCATACGAGGCAGCTTCTATTGACTATATAAATACAACATTCACAATCAAACATATTCCTGCAGAAAGACTGAATGTGACCCACATCATTGATGATGATCCAGGGGATCCAGTCCGGAGCGGGTTGAAGAGCATCCTGCTCCTGACCCTGAAGATAGAGCAGCGTCTCCCCCTCCGTCGACTGCGCACACTCGCCGATGGCCGCCCACTCCACCCCGACCTTCTCGGCGCACTGTCAAACCACCAGGACTATAAGGAAGATTGCTGTCAAACCGCGAGGACGAGTTATACGAAATATTTCAAGTATACTTATCTGGTTGTCTGAAGACGCCCAGGCAGGAAGGGTTAATGCGTGTGGTCGCTGCTCTTTGAACATGTTGTCAGCCAGGATGACATTCTTGTGGGGGGCGTGGGAGTGCGTCGGTCGTGTCTATTATAGCATTGTGGAGCACAACTGTGTTCCAACGTCTGGCTGTTACTGTTTGAGTTCCTTGCTAAACCATCCATCTGATTCACCAAACCATGCATCTGATTCACTAAACCATGCATCTGGTTCACTAAACCATGCATCTGGTTCACTAAACCATGCATCTGGTTCACTAAACCATGCATCTGATTCACTAAACCATGCATCTGATTCACTAAACCATACATCTGATTCACTAAACCATGCATCTGATTCACCAAACCATGCATCTGATTCACCAAACCATGCATCTGATTCACCAAACCATGCATCTGATTCACCAAACCATGCATCTGATTCACCAAACCATACATCTGATTCACTAAACCATGCATCTGATTCACTAAACCATACATCTGATTCACCAAACCATGCATCTGATTCACTAAACCATGCATCTGATTTACTAAACCATGCATCTGATTCACTAAACCATGCATCTGATTCACCGAACCATGCATCTGATTCACTAAACCATGCACCTGATTCACTAAACCATGCACCTGATTCACTAAACCATGCATCTGATTCACTAAACCATGCATCTGATTCACTAAACCATGCATCTGATTCACCAAACCATGCACCTGATTCACTAAACCATGCACCTGATTCACTAAACCATGCATCTGATTCACTAAACCATGCATCTGATTCACCAAACCATGCACTTGATTCACTAAACCATGCGCCTGATTCACTAAACCATGCATCTGATTCACTAAACCATGCATCTGATTCACCAAACCATCCATCTGATCCACCAAACCATCCATCTAATTCACCAAACCATCCATCTGATCCACCAAACCATGTTTACTCCAGGACGCAAGTAAACTCTCCGTGTATACTCACTGAGATTCGGGGTCTACCTCTCAGTGTACATGACTCCTATGATCAGTAGGGAGCATAGGTGGGTCATGTAGCACAGTGGTCTACGTCCTCGATTCACAATAGACACCCCAGGTTCAATCCCCGGGCAGGACAGAAACGGTTTGGCACGTTATCTTTCACCTGAGGCTCTGTTCATCTAGCAATAAAAAGATACCCGGGAGCAAAGCAACTGTTATGGGCTACATCCTGCGAAAGGGCAGTAATTTGTCTGGGGACTAGGAACCTTGATGAGCCAATAAGTTCCTGCCCCCGAGAACGGGAATTTTAACCCCTAGAATGAACATGGAGTCGAGACGTTTTGAGAACAGTCTCCGTGGTGTAGAACTCCGACGATCCCCGCCGCGTAGTGGTAAGACACTCGCCTGGCGTTCCGCGAGCGCTTTGTCATGGGTTCGTATCCTGGCCGGGGAGGATTTAGTGGGCGCAAATCCTTAACTGTATCCTCTGTTTAACGCAACAGTAAAATGTGTACTTGGTTGTAACAAGGATTCTTCGCGGCGGGGATCGTATTCCAGGGACCTGCCCGAAACGCTACGCGTACTAGTGGCTGTACAAGAATGTAACAACTCTTGCATATATCTCAAAAATAAGAAAGAAGAGTGTTTATTAAAAAAAAAAAAACTTCTTTCAATTCTTTCCCTACCGTTTCCCCTTCAGTGGGTGGATATTCCCCCGTCATAAGACAGATGCTGAAGTCAACGTATGTCTCGTAGTCTGAAATATAGGCCTTGGCACAAGCTTCGACCTTGTTGCCCTGACACTCGTCATCTCCGTGTTGACAGTCGAAGACGTAGCCGTCGCCAGAGGGAGTCGCCTGGAGGAGAGAGAGCAGCGCTGGTCATACCAAATATAATTCAGAAAAATTTATACATTTTGTAATCAAAGTGTCTTCATAAGAGAATAAGGAACTGAGGAGAAGAAAAGCTGAGGTAAAATACGGTAATATGAGGAGGAAACGCTTGGTTTCACAAAATATAATGTAGCGAATAACATAAGTTTTGGAGATAGGTTTCAGAAATCATACTGTACCGAATACCTCATTTTTTAAATCAGAGTTACAGAATACATACTGTAGCAAATCCGTACGCGGTGAGGTCAACTTCCATGATGTCTCTGATGGTGTTCCATGCCGGCTCCAGCTGGGAGTTGAAGAAGGCGATACTATCCGGACACAGAGTCTCGAAGAACACTGACACCTTCACGGGTTCCTGAGACACAAGATGTCACACTTACGTAAGAATCCATTACGATATATACAATAAACTATGTAACTACCTTATGAAGATTGTAACGTGCTTAGCCAAATACATTTAAGGATTCAGTTCCTGAGCCCATTCTGTGCCTATGTAACCATTTCCAAAACCACCCATAGGATGGATATAGAGTCCCACACCACCTGCAGGATAGGTACAGGGTCCACTACAACCCACAGGATGGGGTATGGTGTTCAATACCACCCCTCAAGGTGGGCATAGGGTCCATTACAACCCACTGGGTAGGTTTGGGGTCCATAATCAATGAAGTAAACTAAAATAAACTAGCCTAATGGGGTAACTCATGGGATTTAATAAAAGTTGTTCTAGTGCAATCAAAATTTTTTGACGTTTTATATGTAAAAAGGGCTGCAACTGGTCCAAGTTTTAGTACTGCAGCCTAAATAGAAAGGGAGATTTAATTTTTTTTTGTTTTCAACGAATATTACACATTTTCAAATCCTTATAACAACCACAAGTTTCAAATGAAATAATTTCTATGACACTTTAGCATATAATATAGGATCTGTAGCAAGGGATTTTCCAAAACATCTTTAGTTTTCCTAATACAAATAGTTAAAGTTCCCCCAAAAAATTATGCAAATATATCATGTTTATTGCTATTATAAAATCAATAAATAAACTTAGGAAAAAATGCTGGCCCCCAGATTTTAGAGACATAAACTTTACATATAAGGTGTTAGTTTCACGTAAATTGAATACAAAATGAAAGAGTTATAAGAACGTTTATGTTACTTGTAAATAAATAAGAAAAAAATTAATTCTAAGGTGCTGCCATCTGTGGCTGAGGTTGACATCAACCAATTTCCTCCAGAATTGGCACCCTTACAGATAGGCTTAATTGCAGTCAGGTGTATAAGTTTCATGCAATTCGTCCGATAAACAAATAAGAAAACTAAAATTAAAAAAAAAATTAATAAAACTAATTATAATATTTTGTAATATATGGTATTGTGATACCTGAGAGTCATAGATATGATTTCAGTGGATACTTGTGTTTGATAATCGTTTTTTACCATTTTGGAAAATTTTTGACACAAAATTCAATATTTTTTTCTCCCTTCCTATTTATACTACGATGCTGAAACTTGGGCCAGTTGAACCAAATTGTATATACAACTAGTCAACAAAGTTTGATTGAAATCGAACCAGTTTTCATTTATCGCATTTTTCCATGAGTAGACCACCTTAAGTCAATTTCCCGTTCTTAAAATGCCTTCACATTTTAAAAGAATTTACCCCTGGAAAAGGGACAACAGCTGGTGTGGAACTACGCATATGAAAATACCAAATAGTCAAAGCACTGGCTAAATATCTGCAGTCGACCAACAAATTGGGTCACATCTGACCCGCGCCACATTTATACCTGGCGCCACCAACAGCTAAACACAGAAAACAAATGCTTCGTGGCAGCACCATGGATCAGCTGACGCCATAAACACAACACACCGCCCTACGGTGCGGCAAGTCTCCCTACAACACACACCTCTGTTTTAATCACCGTTCCTCTATCTACAACACAACGTAACAAACACCTTGGTAGCTCCGATCATCCTCAACATAAACGCGTCCACCAACATCAGTACTGGTGCAGTCATCGGGAGGACAAACCCTTCATGCAAACTCCACCTACTATCAACAAGAAGAAGTATCCACTCTGGTTGACACCTACATACACTTCGGTGCTGATCAAGCAGGTGGGGCGGCCAACCACAGAGATATAGCAAAATCAATCAAATACAGGCGATTGGAAGGTCAATACTCCTTTGTTCCCATAGCGTCTGAGACGCATGGCCTCTGGGGTAGGAGTGCCTTGGGATTTCTCAAAGAATTGGGTTCCACGCTCATTGACATCACCAGAGAACCAAGAGCTTCCAGTTTTTTTGTTTCAGCGCCACAGTGTGGCGATCCAGAGGGGAAATGCCTGCTGCGTCCTCGGTTCCCGTCCGGAAGTGGAGTTCCAAAAGATCTATAACCTTTAAGCACTCATTGTATCACCCAATGTACGTCTTGTAACCTTTAAATATTTAATAAAGCACAACAAAACACAAAAGGAAGGGGGTGGTAGGAGAAACGAACATAGAAACAGTATTGGAGGGGACCTAGACATCCCTTCTAATGCGTTATGTGTTCTTTCCTCCGAGGCTAACAGTCTCCTTCTTCCAGCCAGAGGAGGTACTCCCTTCCATATTTGAAGAAAATATATATATATATATATATATATATATATATATATATATATATATATATATATATATATATATATATATATATATATATATATATATATATATATATATATACACACACACACATACTACTTCCCCACCGGCACTCGGATGGTAATCTTGGGCATAGCATTTTATCAAATCAAAGGGCCTATTGGCGCATATTTCTTGATGCTTCTATATTGGTGCGGAGTCATGAAGTGGGTGGAATATAGTTGTGGAATAGAATATATAGAATATATAGTCACAACTATATTCTACCCACTTCAAGACTCCGCACCAATATAGAAGCATCAAGAAATATGGGCCAATAGGCCCTTTGCATTTACTTCCATTCTTCCCTTTAACTTTACCCAATATTACCCAATATTTCGTGTTCTATCTTGTGTTGAAAGTTTGTTTTCACCTCATCCAAAACTGTTGTAACATATCACCTCACCCAAATGCAGGTATATAAAATGAAAACCCGTTTGAATTATAGCATAGTAAGAAATCTGTTTTAGTGTTTGCAGGTTATAGTTGTGTGTGTGTGCGCAAGTCTTTGAAAATGTAATAAGTTGTTACGAAACGCGTTCAAGTGTCGCGTCAGACTAGAAATAAAAATGAATTTTGGAGAACTGATTTTTCAATTACCATCCACAGTGAAAAGAGCCATAAGAAATATTGAGAAAATTCGTGTTAGAATTATTAATCTTACTTTTTCGGTCATATTTAATAATATATGTCTACAGGAAAGACTGCTACCAAAATATACTAATACGTATATATATATATATATATATATATATATATATATATATATATATATATATGTATATTTAAATAATCTACTAACCTGAGCGGCAGCTGTGGCCACCAGGAGAGCCAGCAAGACGTGTACAGCACCTGCCATGGTCAAGATGTTACTGGAATCTGAGCCACGAGTCGGTAACTATCTCTGTATATAGATACCGTATTATTTATGGGATCTCGTGATGGCAATGGAGTGTTGTCACTTCCAAAACCTTCAAACAATGATGGTAATAAATTACTTTTTATAATACATTCGAGCCGGAAGTTAGTTTTGATACATGGAAAGGAATTTATATTTTTTGGTGAAATAATAATGTTCCAGAATATTGACAAATTGATTTATATAATTTATTAAATTTTATGTTTTTACATAAATATTTTTAATGGTTTAATTAGAACTTCGTTAATCTTATGATATAAGATATGTACTAATAATGATGATATGTAATAATGATAATAAGACTGGTAAGTGCAGGTGTTAATTAAGGTACGTTATCAGGTGTGGACCGTGGGAACCTTTTCAGGTGTGGACCGTGGGAACCTTTTCAGGTGTGGAGAAGAGAAACTTTCCCGCTCCACACGACAGAAATCCCCAGTTTTATACTTATTATATATTCATTCTTGTGAACTTCCACCTGTAGCGTTATAGTTATTTCGCAACGGGAGTTACTAGGGTTCCATTCTCGAGTTGGGCGAGAGGTTTGGGTACCTTTCCTTAACCCTGATGCCTCTGTTCACCTAGAGGCAAACAAGTATGCTTGGGAGTAAGGTGACTGTTGTTGGTTGCATCCTGAGAAAGGTCAGTAGTTGTTAAAATTTCTTGTTATATCACTAAACTTAGAAACTTATGGATAGTTCAGTGTTCATGACGCTTTGAACAATGTTCATCACACCTTACACAGTGTGCATCACACCTTACACAGTGTTCATCACACCTTACACAATGTTCATCACACCTTACACAATGTTCATCACACCTTACACAATGTTCATCACACCTTACACAATGTTCATCACACCTTACACAATGTTCATCACACCTTACACAATGTTCATCACACCTTAAACAGTGTTCATCACACCTTACACAGTGTTCATCACACCTTACACAATGTTCATCACACCTTACACAATGTTCATCACACCTTACACAGTGTTCATCACACCTTACACAGTGTTCATGACACCTTACACAATGTTCATGACACCTTACACAATGTTCATCACACCTTACACAGTGTTCATGACACCTTACACAATAGGTAATAGCAATGTCTCCTCACAGACATAATAACATAGGATAAAAACTTCACACTTGTGTATTTGTGAAATTTATATAAAGAATTACGCCAAGTCTTACGCACTCTCCTGAGTGCTTGTCAAGGTCTGAGTGTGTGGTGAGGGCGACACTTACATCTCAATGTCTTATCAGACTAGTCGTCGAGATGTTTGTCTCGTCCTAACCACACACTTGACAGAAGAGCTAGGGGAGACATGATCACCATATATAAAATTATCAGGGGAATTGACAGGTTTAGACAAGGATGGATTATTTAACACGGGTGATACACGCACAAGGAGACACAGGTAAGTAAGGAGTAAGAGCGACTCCAGCGTGGTCTAGTCGGAAGAGAACGTGTTCTCATCTGGATAGATTGCGATAGAGCCAGTCGGAACGGGTGTGTAACTGCAGGACACAAATATTTTTTTTGTACCAGCCACTTAGGCTGGACGGTAGAGCGACGGTCTCGCTGCATGCAGGTCGGCGTTGAATCCCCCAACCGTCTAAGTGGTTGGGCACAATTCCTTCGCCAAGTCCCACCCTAAACCCTTATATGGCTTTGAAGTACGGTGTAGTGGATACAGCGTGCAACTACCACCTTGTTGGCCAGTGTTCGAGTCCCCTGGTGGGTTGAGTGTCTAAAAAGTTATAAACTTTATATTTGTTTTGCTGGGAAGACAGGACACCACGAGCGTAGCTCTCATCCTGTAACTACACTTAGGTAATTACACTTAGGTAATTACAGGTGGAAGCTGAATACCCAAATGAGCCACAGAGACATTAGAAACAACTATTTTATTGCCAGAGTAGTTAGTAGATGGAATACACTAGGAAGTGATGTGGTGGAGGCTGACTTCATACAGAATTTCAAATGTAGATATAATAGAGCTCGAGAAGCTCAGGAATCTGAACACCAGTAGATGGACGGTTGAGAGGCGGGCCCAAAGAGCCGAAGCTCAACCCCCGCAAGCACAACTAGATGAGTACAACTATGTGAGTACACTCAGACCTTGACAAAGCACTCAAGAGAGAGTGCGTAAGACTTGGTGTAATTCTTTACATACAAATACACAAGAGTGGGTTTTTATCCTATACTTTACACAATGTTCATGACGCAAGTCTTGGGTCGAGGCTTCGAACAAGTCAAGTGGACTTTTAACCAAATACTGACTAATATACATTTTAGTATGTCAGTATTTGACTTTCAATGTTTGAATCCTACCATCAGGAATGACCTGGGTAAATACAGGCTTGGAAACAGGGTTATTGATTTATGAAACAAATTACCGGTTAATATAATAGACGTTAACACTGGATTGTTTCAAGCGTAGGTGGATTTAAATAGAAGGGCAGGGATTAGAGGAAAGCGCCAAGCCGTTACGACTATATAGCACTTGGAAGGGGTCAGGATAAGGATTTGAGATGGGACGGGGGGAAGGAATGGTGCCCAACCACTTGGAAGGTCGGGGATTGAACGCCGACCTGCATGAAGCGAGACCGTTGCTCTACCGTCCACCCCAAGTGTTTGCGGCTGACTCATATGGACCAATAGGAGCTGCCTCGTATGGACCAATAGGAGCTGCCTCGTATGGACCAGTAGGTCCATACGAGGGCCTCCATTTGGGCATCTCCTATTGGTCCATACAAGGCCTGCTCCACTATTGGTCCATACAAGACCTGCTCCACTATTGGTCCATACGAGGCCTGCTCCACTATTGGTCCATACAAGGCCTGCTCCACTATTGGTCCATACGAGGCCTGCTCCACTATTGGTCCATACAAGGCCTGCTCCACTATTGGTCCATACAAGGCCTGCTCCACTATTGGTCCAAGTGGAGGCGAGAGTTTACTTCTTACTCTTGGTCCGTTAAGAGCTTTACGAGGGACGCTCTCACCACGGGTGTCCCACAGTCTACCATGTGTGTGTCCCAGTGTCCCGTAAGTGTCCCTCAGTGTCCCATAAATATGTCCCAGTGTCCCACAGGCATCCCACAGTGTCCCGCAAGTGCCCCACAGTGTCCCACAGTCTCCCAGTGTCCCACAGGTGTCCCACAGTGTCCCACAGGTGTTCCATAGTGTCCCACAGGTGTTCCATAGTGTCCCACAGGTGTCCCACGGTGTCCCACAGATGTCCCAGTGTCCCACAGTTGTCCCACGGTGTCCCACATTGTCCCAGTGTCCCACAGGTGTCTCAGTGTCCCACAGGTGTCTCAGTGTCCCACAGGTATCCCACAGTGTACCAGTGTCACACAGTGTCCCAGTGTCCCACGGTGTTCCACAGGTGTCCCACAGTGTCCCAGTGTCCCACAGTGTCCCAGTCTCCCACAGTGTCCCACGGTGTTCCACAGGTGTCTCAGTGTCCCACAGGTGTCCCACAGTGTCCCAGTATCCCAGTGTCCCACGGTGTCCCCAGTGTCCCACGGTGTCCCCAGTGTCCCACAGGTGTCCCACGGTGTCCCAGTGTCCCACAGTGTCCCAGTGTCTCACAGGTGTCTCAGTGTCCCACAGGTGTCCCAGTGTCTCACAGGTGTCCCACAGGTTTCCCACAGTGTTCCAGTGTTCCACAGGTGTCCCACAGTGTCCCAGTGCCCCACAGGTGTCCCACAGTTGTCCCAGTGTCCCACAGGTGTCTCAGTGTCCCACAGGTGTCTCAGTGTCCCAGTGTCCCAGTGTCACACAGTGTACCAGTGTCCCACGGTGTTCCACAGGTGTCCCACAGGTGTCTCAGCATCCCACAGGTGTCACACAGTGTCCCAGTGTCTCACAGGTGTCCCAGTGTTCCACAGGTGTCCCACAGTGTCCCACAGTGTCCCACGGTATCCCAGTGTCCCACAGTTGTCCCACGGTGTCCCAGTGTCCCACAGGTGTCTCAGTGTCCCACAGGTGTCCCACAGTGTCCCAGTGTCCCACAGTGTCCCAGTGTCCCACGGTGTCCCCAGTGTCCCACAGGTGTCCCACAGGTGTCCCAGTGTCCCACAGGTGTCCCCAGTGTCCCACAGTGGCCCAGTGTCCCACACTGTCCCAGTGTCCCATAGTGTCCCACAGTGTCCCACAGGTGTCCCACAGGTGTCCCAGTGTCCCACAGGTGTCCTACAGTTGTCCCACGGTGTCCCAGTGTCCCACAGGTGCCCCATAGGTGTCCCACAGGTGTCCCATAGTGTCCCAGTATCCCACAGGTGTCCCACAGGTGTCTCACAGTTGTCCCACGGTGTCCCAGTATCCCACAGGTGTCCCACAGGTATCCCACAGTTGTTCCACGGTGTCCCACAGGTGTCTCAGTGCCCCACAGGTGTCCCACAGGTGTCTCAGTGTCCCACGGTATCCCAGTGTCCCACAGGTGTCCCACAGGTGTCCCCAGTGTCCCACAGGTGTCCCACAGGTGTCCCCAGTGTCCCACAGGTGTCCCACAGGTGTCTCCAGTGTCCCACAGGTGTCCCATAGTGTCCCACAGTGTATATTTACTATTTTTGTACAAGTATCGGGCTGTTAGCTCTTGGGCCCCGCCTTTCTACCCGTTGATTGTTTAATGTACTGACCTATTTGTTATTTCTACTTCATATTTCGCTCACACACACCCAGGAAGCAGCCCGTAGCAGCTAACTCCCATGTACCTATTTACTGCAAGGTGAACAGGTGCATCAGGGGAAAGAAACTCTGCCTTTTGTTTCTGTCTCCTCCGGATGGCACTGGTCGTGTGTGTGTGTGAATGGTTCTCGCCTAATTGTGCTTGCGTTTGTTGAGCTTCGGCTCTTTGGTCCCGCTTCTCAGCTGTCAATCAACTGGTGAACAGCTTCCTGAACCTATTGGGCTCTATCATATCTACACTTGAAACTGTGTATGGAGTCAGCCTCCAGCACATCACTTCCTAATGCATTCCATCCG